CTGAGGCTCGGCTCCAGCTCTGAGACCTTGGCTGCTGAAAGCAGGTATCTGGGCTTTGTTTAGCTTCTATAATTGAAACACTGTTGCAACTCCAGCTCTGCCGGCTGGCTGAAAGCATGGGGTTTGTTTAGCTTCTATAATTGCAACATAGTTGCTTAGAGTGCAGCTCAGAGCCCAGCAGTGCAGGCGGGGAACCTTGGCTTCCTCCTTCACTGGAGCAAGCAAGCCTCCTGTTCACTTCAGCTGCCTGGCTGCTGGCCGCCATCTTGGTTGGCAGTTAATTTGCATATCGCCCTTATTAGCCAATGGGAAGCGTGTCAGAGGTATGGTTTGTCTATTACTAGATAGGATATATATTTTATTATGACTCAAAGCCAAAATATCCTTATTTATACTTTGACTTAACTGACATTTCTCAGACAAACACAGTTTCTGTGCATTTCCTTCTGTTGCTGACATTCCACTTTGTACTCGCGGTTCTGACGCCAGCCCCGCAGGCCAGGCCATCCGCCTTCCTGGTGCAGTGCCCGTGGTGCCACATGGTGCCTGTGCGCCGGAGTGCTTCTGGCCAGGGCTCCCCTGTCCGCGGTCAGCTCTGCCCTGGGGCCTGGGGACATGCAGCACCGGGAACCGTATCGCGGCCTTTCTCACGTGGGTCCTGTGCCCAATCGTAGTCCTCTGTGGACCGTGATGGGTCGGCTTTGTGACTCTGAGTCTTATTTTCAATGTGATCTGCGGCAGCTTCTAGTCTTCCAGGTTTTCTCAGGTAGCAGGTCTCTGTCCTTGTCAGTGGAGAGCCGCGTCTTCTGATTCCTGTGCTTGAGGGACAGCAGAGTGTGGGGTTGTGATGAGGAGCTGGTTAAGGGTCCGCCTTCTCCACCTTCCCCCCGGCCCTCCTGGGCGGCCTCCCGGCACCTGCTGGCCTTTCCTGAGCCAGTCTCTGTGGCGTGAAGGGAAGGAGCGTGAATAGCCCTCACGCTGCTGAGATGAGTAACCACACGCAGGAGCCCTGCCGGCGCCTCCCTCCCGCAGGCACAGCCCGGGGTCCGGACTCAGCGCGTCTGCCAGCCTCCACCGCCGGCCCGTGCACAGGCCCTCGGTCTCATGCAAGACAGCGGAGGCCAGGAGGCCCAGCCTCAAACCAGGGGGCCGGGCCGCAGAGCGGACTTGGAACGCAGTCTTCGGGCGCCGCGTGGAGACTTGGCCACGCGCCGATTCTGGAGGGAGTGGAGCTGGGAGCAGAGGGGACGCCGAGGACCTGAGACCCCGAGGACCCTCTGCAAAGGCCCCTGGAAGCAGGATGTGATGAAGCAGTTACGCCAAGGAGGGGAAGCCGCGCGTCAGGTTCTGTGTGACTGACGGGGCCCCAGTGGCCAATGCACCAGGTCAGGGTGAGTGAGGAAAGGGCTGAGATACGCTCCCCGTGTCCTCTGCCAAGAATTTGTGTATAATTTGGGCGACGCTTAAAGCATCTCACGTTACTGGGAACCTGCAGGTCGGTGCCTGGGAGTGGGAGAGGGAGTCGTGGAGACTCAGGTGTGGACGGATTTAATCCTGAAGTCGAAGGTGTGTACTTACAAAGTTTTGACCTGCTTCACGCCAGAGGAGGGGGCAGGAGTCAGTGTGCAAGTTGATGGCTACAGTGTTGCTCAGCCCAGTGACGGCTCTCTCATCGTGGGATACAGTGTTACAACAATCCGTGGAGGACTCGGGAAGATGAATATGACAGTTTAAAGGCACCTTTCGGGAGCGGCTCTGTCTGCATTGATTAGCAATCAGTGAGAAAAACGGACACAGTACCAGAGGAGTAAAGTGACTTCAGTTAAATTAGACTCACAGCACGGGACATGAGATTTCATCCATTAAAAGCTGGTCAGGAAACCTATGGCCATGATTTGCGGTGCAGAGAACTGTAAAGCTCTTGATAACTTATGTGCCTATCGAGAGCGAGCCAACAGAACTTACAAAGTCATTAGAAATAGAAACAGGACAGTTTTATCAATGGAGGCAACGAAACACAAATATGAAGTTGTGCTGAGCCCGGCTTTTATGAAGCACATGTGGTTGCACACCCAACACCAGTGCCCTGCGCTGGACTCGGACGTCCCCGTGAGGACACGGCCGAGCCTGCTCTCCGGCACCTGAGGTCGGACCCCACGATGCGTCACACATCCCCCAGCACCCAGTGCACTTACTCTCCTCACAGCGAAGACCCTATCTGAGTAACAAACTGTCCTGTTCGCATGAAAAGTCTTTGAAACGTTTTCTGGTCACTAAACGTGGATACAGATATTAGCAAATGGGTCCTTTGTTTGCAGTAAGACAGCTCACTCAACACCTACAAAACACACACACACAAATATATACACAGACACACACAGATACACACAGATAGACACACACATATATACACAGACACATGGGCACGCACAAAAACACATACACACATATATACACAGACACACACATACACATAGACACGCAGACACAGACGCAGATACAGACACACACAGATACACAGACACACACAGATACATACATAGACACATGGACACATATATACACAAAGGCACACACAGGCAGACACACACATACACATACAGATACACACGTACAGATAGACACATAGACACACATGCACAGACACGCACAGATACACACATAGACACACATACATACACAAAGACACACGCATACACAGGTACACATGGAAACACAGAAACACACACAGAAACACAGACACACACAGATAGACACACATACACATGGACACACATAGGCACACAGACACACACAAATACTCATACACACATATATACACACAGAGACACACAGACACAAATACACAGACACACACACACATACACACAGAGACACGGACACACACAGACACACAGGCACACAGAGACGCACGGTGTGGGTCTCACCCTGTGGTCACGGCCACATCTCTCATCAATGAGAATAAGGAGCTTCCCTGCTGCTCTCAGGGACGGGCTGGAAGCCCGCGTCCCCGGCCGGTGGGAGGCGTCATGGTCCCTGGAGAGGCGGTGGTGAGCAGGTGGCAGGTTGGCCGCAACCAGGTGCGCATTGCCCGGCCCATGACCCCGGTCCTGAGTCCAGATTCCAGACCAGGAAGCAATCCAGTTTCGGGGACACCCAGAGTTGGCGTCCCCATTTTACCAGGCCGGTCTCCTGCCTGTGGAACAGGGTTGAGGTGCCTTCTGCTAAGGCTGCTGGGGCGTCTGGACGGGTCACACCCAGGCGGGGACTCTGGGCACCACGTGAGAAGACAAGCTAGAGGGGGGCGGCCCCAGGAGGGTTGGAGGGCTCCCTGCAGCCTAGCAAAGGCCTCAGGCCCTGATCGTCCTGGGGGCGGGTGCATCTTCGGGGGTGCCCAGGCCGGGCTCTCTGGACAGGCCCTGTGGATGCTGTGGTAGGAAGGCGCCAGCCTCACAGACCCAGCCACCCACACGGCTCTGGGGCCCAGACTGCCCAGGGCTGGACGGGAGTCCACGCCTTCTCGGGGGGGACCAGCTCCCCGAAGTCTTGCCTCCTGTCCCTGCATCCTCGCCTTTCCCAAGTCCATCCTGTGCAGGGAGTGGAGGCTAACGTTTCGGCATCAAACACCTCATCTTCTGAAATTAGCATAAACTTTGTCACATTTGGTTCTTTAAGTACAAGTGAAAATCACCTTATTACTTAAAAGCCAAACACTAACCCGGCAGAGAAAGGAGGGGACAAAATGAAAGGAAATCAGGAACACACCCCCTCCCCCGGCGCCCCCTCCCCGGCCTCTCCCTGGGCCCATGCTGACATCTCGAGTGGTCCTGGGTGTGGAATTTCCTGTGCAGCAACAGCGGTACTTCTGGGAGATGATGCAAATGACACGTTTTGAAACCCAGAATTTGCTGACATGAAGACCAAGTGTGTTTCGTGTGCAAGCCCTCGGGCGTGGCTGTGCCAATGTCAGGAACAGTCACTCAGTTGTTGTTCTGCAGTTGCTGCAGCCTTGGGCGCCACGCTGCAGAGGCTCCGTGCGGCGGTGCCGTTGACGGAGAAACGCATCCAGTTCCTTCTGTACAAACAGCATCTGTGGTTGTTTTTATAGAATTAAAATTTTTTTATTTCCTTACAAATTTTATTTCCACAACATGCACTGCTCACTTCCCCTGAGCCATCGGCTCTGTTCCCGCCGCGCGCTGTCCTCATCGGGTTTAGGTTTCCCAGACACGAGTCCAGCCCCGGAGAAAGGGCCGTCTCACAGGTTACTGGTGTCAAATCCTGGCGGCCGAGCTCGCTCTGCAGGAACCCAGAGTTTCGTGGACGAATTAAGCTCATTTATTCAGTCAGCACATATTTTTTCGCTGCCTCCGGGGAGTTGGGCTCTGTTGTAAACTCTGGGGTGAGAGCCACAAACGGGAAATACAGACCAATGTGCTTCCTTCTCTCAGGCAGCCTGCATGCTAACGCGGGCTGTGCAGCAATAGCACGTGCACCTGTATGGAAAGAAGGGCCTGCCAGCTCATCATAGATGCTAAAATACTAGAGGCTCTAATGAGCCGTGACGGACACCCCTCAGATCGGGTGGTCGGGAGGCACCTTCGAGCTGAGATGTGAGTGACGAGGGAACCAGCACATGGTTGGCATTTCTAGCAATAAATCTGTTTACTTTTCCCAAAGGTCCGGGTGGGTGGGAGCCGGAGCAGTTGACCTGGGGGTGCATTGGGAACAAAGATGAGCTCTGCTGTGGGTGTGTTTTCAGGTCGACCTGAAGGCTGTGCTGACGCGCAGGCACCGGGCAGGGGCAGCCGGTCAGCGACTCCCTCGCGGACCCACAGGCCTGTGGCCTCGCAGCCCAGTGGCCAGTGGCGCTGCAGCTATGGCGCTGTGGGCGCCCCACATCCGCCCCATGCTGTTCCCACGGCCCAGCAGGTCCAGCAGGGCCTGGCGGCTGACAGACCCCTCGCGTGTGGTGGCTCAGAGCCTCTTTTTCTTTTCAGGAGCTGGAAGCTGAGAGCCGAGGAAGAGAGGAGGCCTGGTGTGCAGGGCGACCGCGTGCTGGCCACAGCCCTGGAGCACTCCCTGCTGTCCCTGGAGGCCCTGTCCCCGGCTGTGGCCCTGGACCTGCTCCCAAGGATGCAGCAGAGCGGGCGGGCAGTCCAGGTGACGTCACAGCTCTGGGTTCTGGGCGGGGTGTCACCTGGGGGGTAAGGAGGGGGAATTCTTTTTCTTTGAGATTTAAAAAATGTATTGGGTGATATTGGTTAATGGGATCAATAGGTTTCGAGTGTATGTTTCTATGGTACGTGGCCTGTACGTGTGTGCCCACCACCCAGTCAGTTCGGGTCCCCGGATTCGCAAGGAGCACCTCCTAAGTCCTCAGCCGCGTCTCCTGTTCCCCCATGTCCATCCAGACGGTGGGCGGTGTGTGAGGGGAGGGGTGTATGCACAGAGGGTCCCTGGGGTCGTGGCAGGGTGACCCCTCCCCAAGTCCAGCAGTGGCTGCCTGCGCCCCTCGAGGCTGAGCCCGAGGGATGGGGTCCCCAGAGTGTCCCCCATGGGACAGGCCCATGGCCCGAGGAAGCCCCCCATCGATCACGCAGCAGGACACCAGGGCAGCCGAAGTGTTGAGTCCACCGCGGGGAAGGGCCTGGGACGGCAGTGGACGCTCCCCTGCAGGAAGGACACGGGAACCTGAATTTGGCCGGATTGGGGGACCAGGGGACCCACTGCCCAGACCTGTCCCGGGGAGACCCTGTGGTCTCTCCTCTTGTACCCTGCCCTCTGCGGGCGCCGTGTAGGTGCTGGGTCTGGGCACCGCGCTGGCCCCGGGTAGAAGCTCACTTTGTGTCAACAGGGAACCTGCTCTAGATCCCTTTCAGGGGCAGAGGAGGGGGTGGGAGGCACTCCCGGAAGCTGCTGGGGGTTGCAAGCGGCCCCCGCGCCTCTGAGGCCCGGGACGGGCAAAACGGGGGAGGAAGGTCTGTGGTGGAGGCTGCAGGACGGGAGACAACTTGGCATCACTCTGTGCTCAGAGAGCCCTCAGGGGTCAGAAACCAGCAGCCCCTACAAAGCATCGGGATCCTCAGAGCCCAGAGCCCAGCCCAGCAAGAAAGTCTCTGATCCTGCTCTCAACCAACGGCAGCCGGGAGACCCGGCCACAAAGTCAGCGCCCACCTCGCCACAGATCACGTGGCCTCAGCACCCACATCAGCGCCCACCTCACCACAGATCACGTGGCCTCAGCACCCACATCAGCGCCCACCTCGCCACAGATCATGTGGCCTCAGCACCTACGTCAGTGCTCACCTTGCCACAGATCACGCGGCCTCAGCGCCCACATCAGCGCCCACCTCACCACAGATCATGCGGCCTCAGTGCCCACATCAGCGCCCACCTCGCCACAGATCACGCGGCCTCAGCGCCCACATCAGCACCCACCTCACCACAGATCACGCGGCCTCAGTGCCCACATCAGCGCCCACCTCGCCACAGATCATGTGGCCTCAGCGCCCACATCAGCGCCCACCTTGCCACAGATCATGTGGCCTCAGCGCCCACCTTGCCACAGATCACGCGGCCTCAGCGCCCACCTTGCCACAGATCACGCAGCCTCAGCGCTCACCTTGTCACAGATCACGCGGCCTCAGCGCCCACCTCGCCACAGATCACGCGGCCTCAGCGCCCACCTTGTCACAGATCACGCGGCCTCAGCGCCCACCTCGCTACAGATCGCGTGGCTTCAGTGCCCACGTTAGCAGACTGGCAGAGCAAGGGCTGTGCATTGTTCCGGGGTGAATGGTATTTACTTCATTCTCTGTTGCTCTTTCATACAAAATGCCAGCATCCAGTCAGACTTTGGGGAAGGTGAAGGGAGAAGAAAGAAGATGGGCCTCATGGTTGAGAGAGGAAAGAGGCAACAGAAGTAAACCCAGGCGTGACTCGTGTTGCGACGATGGGAAAGGGCCATGTTCATAATGAAGACGAATGGACTGCGGCTGAGTGGACAGGGAGGCGCTGAGTGAGCAGTGGGAGCTGCACGCAGCGGAGGCAGCGCAGAGCCCACGGAGGCAGTGGGTCAGGAGCAGCTTCTCTGGCAGGTTCGGTGAAGAGGCGTTCTTCAGAACGAGATGCTGAGGCTGGGAGACGAGAGATGGCCTGGGATGTTCGACGCAAACCCTCAAGTGGGGGATGAACCTGGAAATTCCTGTCCGGCTTGTTCGTGTTTATTTTTTAAGCCCAAAGCAAGATCGCCAAGTCCCCACTCCAAGCTCAGCTGAGCAAAGTTGTGTTGTTTTCCACCGCAGACGGCAGATGAGGCCACGGTTCCTGTGGCCCAGCCCGAAGCCACGCCAGGGGCCGCGCCCGGCTCTGCTGCCTGCCTGCGGGACCTCGTGCCTCGCACCCGAGATGGGGAGCGTGTGTCCACACCGCAGGGTGGTTTCAGGGCCAACAAGGATGCGCACAGGCAGAGCCAAAGCCCAGCCTGGCCGGCAGCCATAAGCCTGGCCTCGCGGTGACCTCGCCAGCCCGAGGTGCAGACACAGCTCTGCTTCGGCCGCTCCCTGTGCTCCCGGGCTGGGTCCGGGCTGCAGGTGCAGCTTCCGGCGAAGACGCGTGCCAACCAGGGCGAGCGTGGTGAGGAGGCAGGTGGTGCAGAGTGGGGGGCGGAGAAGCAGCCCTTCCCCTGGGCGTGTCTCCTTGCAGCGGTTCTCAACCTGTGGGTCGCGAACAATGAAAATACATCCTGCATATCAGATATTTACATTAGATTCATAACAGTAGCAACATTACAGTTATGAAGTAGCAACGGAAATAATATTATGGTTGGGGTCACCACAACATGAGGAACTGTATTAAAGGGTGGCGGCATTAGGAAGGTTGAGAACCACTGCCTCAGAGCAACCCCAGGCTCCGTGATGCAGTGTCCTGTGCAGAAGGCCACGGCATATCTGACTGTCAGATTTCTCAAAATTCATCGGTCCTGTGGCCTAGAACTCAGCCCCTCCGGCCGCAGGCGCTGGGAACCCCCGAGCTGTCGGGGACTGGCCGCCTTCTGTGGAGAGCTGTGTCTCACTGCATCTGGCCGGCCGCCTTGTCAAAGCGGGACCAGAGTGAGGCTCTGAACAAGGATGTTTCTTTTGTCCTGATGATGGCGCTGTCAGTAGGAGTGACCCCTCCAGTCCTCACCCCTGCACGTGGGTGGGCACCTAGAGCCTGAACACCATTGAGCACTGACAACCTTTTCACTGTGTTGAAAGGGAGAGAGAAGTGGGTGGAGAGGGAGAAAGTCAGAGAGAAACAGAGAGACAGGGACAGAGACAGAGTCACACACACAGAGAAGGAGAGAGAGAGAGAGAGAGAGAGAGAGAGAGAGAGAGAGAGAGAGAGAGAGAGAGAGAATCAGTTGCCAGAGTTGCCCCATGGCCTGAGAACAGGAAGCCGCGGTGAAGTAGCCCTGACTCCGGTGATGAGCTAGAGGCAGGGGTTTCTGAACTCCACCGGCTCCCAACTCTCACCATTGTCCAGGGCTATTGCGGCCAGCTCGTTAGGAGGCCAGTGGACAGCCCCACCGCCGTGTGCTCTGTCACGCCAGCCGCAAGCACCTCTTGGTCAGTGTGCTTGTCAGCGCTGCCTCCGGGCATGAGGCAGACTGGAGAAAGGTTTGCTGTGGTCAAAAGATGCCCAGTCTGGGCTCCTAATTTGTTTTGGATCCTTGACACTAGAGAGTATGTGATGAGCATGCGGGACCAGGGTGTAGTAGACAAACGTCTCATCCGCTCAGTGTTTGCTGGCACTGGGCTGCCGGCCTCCAGGCCTTCCTGGCAGTCTCTGTCCGTAATTGTGCAACCTGGGGCTGGGAAGTGACATCAGGAGAGGAGGGAGGCCTGACCTTCAGCTCTGGGACCCCGGCCCAGGGGAATCTGGGAGCAAGGGGGTCCACCTCAATGAGTGTCTTGCTGGCTGGGAGGCAGGGGATGCAATGCAGGTTTTAGTCCAGGATGTGTGTCACATGGCTGCAGGAAGCTGCCCTGATTCCCAGCTGAATATAACAACTTCCTTCCCAGGAACCTCTTTAATAATATACCTCCAGTTGTACCTACTAATGTTTATGACTTAACTTGCATTTCAGTCTGCAGGCTGTTTGAAGACAAGTCCATGTCTGAGTTGTTCTTCCCTCATTGAATATAGTCCAGAACTTGTCACACAGTAGCAGTAGTGGTCGTGATGTTGCTGATGGTGGTGATGGTGATGGTGATGGTGAAGATGGTGATGCTGATGGTGGTGACGATGTTGATGGTAGTGATGATGGTGATAATGATGATGTTGATGGTGGTGATGGTGGTGATGATGGTGATGTTGATGGTGGTGATGGTGATGGTGATGATGATGGTGATAATGCTGATGGTGATGGTGATGGTGATGATGATGGTGATAATGATACTGATAGTGATGATGGTGGTGATGGGATGATGGTGATGATGGTGGTGATGGTGATGGTGGTGATGATGATGCTGATGGTGATGATGGTGATGATGGTGGTGATGATGGTGATGATGGTGGTGATGGTGGTGATGATGATGGTGGTGATAATGATGCTGATGGTGATGATGGTGATAATGATGCTGATGGTGATGATAGTGGTGATGGGATGATGGTGATGATGGTGGTGATAGTGATGATAGTGGTGATGGGATGATGGTGATGATGGTGGTGATAGTGATGATAGTGGTGATGGGATGATGGTGATGATGGTGGTGATAGTGATGGTGGTGGTGATGATGCTGATGGTGATGATGGTGATGATGGTGGTGATGGGATGATGGTGATGATGGTGGTGATAGTGATGATAGTGGTGATGGGATGATGGTGATGATGGTGGTGATAGTGATGGTGGTGGTGATGATGCTGATGGTGATGATGATGATGGTGATGATGGTGGTGATGGTGGTGATGATGATGATGGTGGTGGTGATGGTGATGATGGTGGTGATAGTGATGATAGTGGTGATGGGATGATGGTGATGATGGTGGTGATAGTGATGATAGTGGTGATGGGATGATGGTGATGATGGTGGTGATAGTGATGGTGGTGGTGATGATGCTGATGGTGATGATGGTGATGATGGTGGTGATGGTGGTGATGATGATGATGATGGTGGTGATGATGATGATGGTGATAATGGTGATGATGATGCTGATGGTGATGATGGTGGTGATGGTGGTGATGATGATGATGGTGATGATGGTGGTGATGGTGGTGATGGTGGTGATGATGATGATGGTGATGATGGTGGTGGTGATTATGGTGATGATAATGATGATGGTGGTGGTGATGATAGAGGTCCTGATGCTGGATGACGGCGAAGCACACCTCTCTGAGCTGTGTGCTAAACTAGGGACTTTTACCCATACTCTCCCTGATCCTCACAGCTGCTATAAGAAAAATTATTTTCCAAGTTTTTCAGGTGGTAAAAGTGAAGCTCAGAGAGGTGAGACTTCTCCCCAGGGGTGCCAGTGCAGAGCTGTGCTGGCAGGTGGGCCTGGTCTGAACAGCCTCCCACCCTGCTGGTGCTTATTCAGCGCATGCGGTGGGGTTTCCGAATGTGCTCAAAGCTCTTCCATCTTCATGGGACATCAGGGCGCTTTGGGGGTGGTTCTCAGACACTTGCCCTCGGTGGATCATGCCACAGTGCCCCACTGGGTTCCACTGACACATCGCGTGAGGAGTTAATGTGCCGGAAGTGGCGGTGCCACGTATGGACAATTGGCCGATTTTCATGCTGTTAGGTTTCTGGTTTCCATATTTGGGTAAATGCAGTCTTACAAATTATTCACTGTTACCTTGAGAAACCCAGCACCATAGGTTTGTTGAATTGAGGCTTTAAACCGTTTTCCAAACACAGGGTTGAACATGGGTCCTGGAAGGTTAAACTCAGCTGAAAGTGGTGGGCGGGCCATTCTCGGCTGGACTGGGGACTTCCTGACGCTTTAAAGAAAATAAAGTGGGAGCTGTGAGGTAAAAGTACCAGCGATTGTGGTCGTAGCCACCAGCACTTCTGAGAGATCCCCAGTCACAGGTGATGGAGGTGTTAAACACCTCCCCCAGCAAAGGCCACTGGCCCGGAAGCCTCAGGCGGAGACCACCTGGGGGCTGCCCTGCCCCAGACCCACTCTGTGTGCTGCTCTCCTTCGGGACAGAGCCACCGGGAGGAAGCAGCCATGAGCCCCCGTCTCACCTTCCCACCCCCAGGCCTGGTCATGGGCGGACACCCTCACCGAGGCCATCGCTCCTGCGGGCACTGCCTGCCGCACCGTTTGCGGGGAGCCTGGTGTGAGGACCGCGGGGTCCTGCTCCACAGCCCCTTGCTTGTACCGCCTGCCACGTGCTCTTTCCCCTTCTTCACCTTAATGGGGGTCAGCGCATACACCCCCCAACAGAGGGCTCATCCCTGAAACACTCTGCTATGATTCGCCGTGGGCTGCGCCCAGCCCGGGGTCCTCTGCCACGGCCTCGTTGGCTCTCGTCAAAGGCCTCACGCAGAGACGGCAGGTCGGCTGCATGTGGGGGGCGAGGAGAGACGCTGGGGCACGTTAATGAGGGGCCGGGATGGCGGCCGCGCGCTGGCCTGGCCAGGGGTGCGGAGACAGCCTTCGGAACAGGAGCCGACGCCGAGCTGAAGATGACTTTGCACCAAGTGTGTGTGCCCTGGAGGGACGCTGCGGAGACTTCCTGTTTCTCTCTCGTGACTCTCAGCTGCCCGTTGCTAAAGGGAAAGCAACTCATTTCAGCTGGTACTTAGACAAAATTAAACAATCTGGAGGACAGCTAAAGTCTCATCATTACAAAATGAACAGTCCCGAGAGAATGTCCAGGGTCCTTCTGTGACCGAAGAGAATTGAGTCTCAGAAGAGTCAGGTGATTTGCTGAGTCCAAGCGTGAGAAGCAAACGGCCCACCGCCGCCGCGTCCTGGCCTCGCTCGCACCGACCCGCCGAGCCTGGCCCCGACGCGTTTGGAAACAGCCAGGCCAGGCAGGCGGAGCCTCGTCTTCAACCCAAGGCCGTGCCCAGGCCTCAGCGTTCCCCATGGCCCGGGAGGCTCGAGCAGGAAATGTCCATGGGAGAGGGCTAAGAGCGGCTGTGGCCGCCCGCATCCTCCGGGAAACCAGAGCGAGGAGGAGGCCCGGGCTCCGGGAACGGCCGTGCTGCCCAGGCCGTGGACGCGACACTCTGTGTCGTTAGCAACCAGGCGCCTGGCATTTCCCTGGGTAGGAGGTGCTATCACAGGAGCAGGACATGACGTGATTCAATACCCAGTCCAACTACTTCCCAACCGCTGGGCTGGTTGGAACGAAAACGAGGACGAAGCAGCATGAACAGCTGAGGTGGAGCCTGGAACCCGCCGCTGGGAGCGTGTGAATGCGCAGCTGCTGGGAGCCGTGGGATGAGAGAAACACATGCCCACAGACAGGCCCCCGGCACCCACAGACAGGCCCCCGGCACCCACAGACTGGCCCCCGGCACCCACAGACTGGCCCCCGGCACCCACAGACAGGCCCCCGGCACCCACAGACTGGCCCCCGGCACCCACAGACAGGCCCTCGGCGCCCATAGACTGGCCCCCGTCCGCCCACAGACAGGCCCCCAGTGCCCACAGACCGGCCCCCATCCGCCCACAGACCAGCCCCCGGTCGCCCACAGACTGGCCCCCGGCACCCACAGACTGGCCCCCGGCCGCCCACAGACAGCCCCCCGGCCGCCCACAGACAGCCCCCCGGCCGCCCACAGACAGGCCCCCGGCCGCCCACAGACCGGCCCCCAGCCGCCCACAGCAGTGCATTCAGATTGGCCCCAAAGTGGGAACAACCCCACGTCCAGCAGCTGGTGATCGAGTAAGCACAAGGCGCTGCACCCCTCCTGGGTTAGTCTTCAGCTGAGAAAGGGGTTGTGGCCTGGCACGCAGCAGGGTGCACCCTGAAAACTGCGCTGCAAGAGAGAAGTCAGACACAGGCCCTGTGGTGGGACCCTCCGTGGTGGGACCCTCCGTGGTGGGTCCCGTCCGCGCAGCACCTGGAGCCGGCAGAGCCCCAGGGAAGGAAGGAGAGGAAGGAGGGAAGGAGAGGGCGATGGCCAGGGCTGGGGTGGGAGGAGTCGGGTGCAGGTTCCTGTTTGGGTGACTAAGATGCTATCCGACAAGTGGCGGTGGAATAGTGTGTGGCCTTTGCCCAGCTCTGTGGCTACACTCAGAACAGCCGAGTTGGGTGAATTCCTGGCGTGTGAATCACCTCAATAAAGTTGTTGTCAATGACTAATGTCACGACCAGCGCAGACAGGAGTTGGGTCCCTGATCGTGCGCACTGTGGGCACATTGGGGGCCCGCTGCTGTTCGGTGCCTTGAGAATCCCGACCGGGGCCATCCTGGTGGGAGGCTGACGACTGAGACTCAACCGCTGCTGTTTTGTCTCCCGCCCCTGCAGGGTGAGGGCCCCCAGGCCGACAGCGTGCTGACCTCCGCCCCCGCCTCCCGGACCAGGCACCCCATGGGCCACCCTCTGCAGACCCTCAGCCGGCTCCCGCCGGGTGAGCTCAGCCCCGAGGGGGACGGTGGGGTCCAGAAGCGGACTCTGCTCAGGCAGCTGATAGCCTACTTGGCCATGATAGCCCCCTCGCCCACCCCGGCGGGCCCCCTTGCGCCTGGTGACCTTCTGCGTGTGCCCTGGAGGAAACACGGGAAGCGGTTTTCGCCTTCAGAAGACCCCACCGAGCCCCTGGGCACCAGCAATGGTAAGTCAGCCCCACCCCCTCTGGGGTCGTTTGTTGTCAACTCCGTCTTCCCAGCACCTGCTTCGCTGTGTGTGTGTGTTGGGGGGCTTGGGGGGGCTGGGAGGAGGGGCGGACGCCAGGCACCTGTGAGGAAGGCGCCTTCGGGTGCGCTTCCCCGTGTGGCTGGTGGAGGGAAGGTGGCCATGCTCATGCCGGATGGACCGGGTCACGACACTGTCCCTGATCACACCCCTCCCTGCGGTTTCATGGTTTCCTGACTTTACTGAAGAGGATGAGGTGGGCGGGGCCCTGGCCAGCCCCAGCCCCACATGGTGTGGGCCACACAGGCTCTGGAAGGGGGGCTACAGATGTGTTTACTCCGTCACACGCCCCATCACTGCTGTGGTCACACGCGCCCAGGTCACATGGTTATGCGTATTTGTCCCCAAAGCCCTCAGGTGAGACAGCGCCACTCACAGCACGATGCTGGCACTGCGTGGCCTTTCCCGCGGCCAACACGCAACGCTGGGCTCGCCGACATGTGAGTTATGCCCTGTGTGACCGCCGGAGGGAGAGGGGCTGTGCCTGCTCCTCCGTAAGACGCAGAAGGCTCTGCGCACTTTTATCCTCAAGGCCTTTCCCAAGGCCATCGCACTCAGCGAGATGCTGATAAAGCAGCCTTCGCCTCTGAAGATCCCACACCACAGACCCAGCAGGGGACGGTGGTGATGGCAGCTGCCCGAGGACCGCGGAGCGCCCTGCTGGTGTAGGTCTGCACTCGCCGCTGTCCAGGGAAGGCCCTCCCCCCATGTAGCTGCGGTGGCACCTTTTAAATCGGGGTGGGGAACCTTTTCCTGCCCAGACCTTTTGGACATTTATAACATCACTCGTGGGTCATACAACATTATCATCTTAATGATTCGCTGTTCTATTTGGTCAAACATTTAATTAACTCAGCCCAGTGCTTGGCAGGGCCCGGCCCACTGATTTCTGGGCCAGATGCCCCCCACCCTGTTTACATGAGAGAGGCGCCAGGCTGCGGTGAAGGGACGGAGCGGGAGGTGTGCGCTGTGCACCTGGCTAAGCCGTCGCACAGAAACACTCCCTCCGTGGGGTTGGCATTTCCACGGGGCTGTGCCTGGGGGAGCCCATTCCCACCAGCTTTTTCCTTTGGGCCGGTGTTCTCTGCTGGCTGCTGCCTTCTCTGCTCGGATGCGTCTCTGCCTGTTGCGCTCGCTCTCTCTCTCTCTCTCTCTCTCTCTCTCTCTCTCTTTCTTCTCCCTTCCCTCCCCTTCTCCCCTCCCCTCCCCTTCCCTTCCCTTCCTTTCCCTTCCTCTCCTCAGAGTATTTATTCACCTCCCTCTGCACCTGCCATGAATGCCTTGGGAAGGTCCCTCCCCGCCTGTTAGCCTCTGTCCATGGTGCTGACCCTTCTCCGTCCCCTCAGCTTCTGTATGGCTTCTGTACATGCGATGACGCTGGGATGATGCAGGGCGCCCTGTCTTTAACGCCCTCCCCTCCTGTGCTATCTTCCACAACTTAAACATCTCCCAGTGGACGCCTGGGTCCTCCCTGCTGGAAGAAGGAAATATTGCTGCCCACCAACAGCACGCAATCCTCCGAGCGCCCCCTGGTGCCGGGCAGAGGTGACTGCTCCACGTGTCTGCTGGAGCTGCACCGCTCAGAACCCTCCCCACGTGTCACCTCCCACCCTCTTCACTGTCCCCTGCCCCTCTGAACTGGTCTGCGTTGCACAGTTGGTTATAGTTTTACAGGTAGCATCTTCCCAGCTGCCCGTGTGCTTAGAGGAGTCGCATAAATGTCCACCATGAAGCAGAGAGAGTGTGCGATGAGCCCGTACACCCAGCCCTGACCCCGTACACCCAGCCCTGACCCCTCCTGCTGCTTCCCCTCCCCCTCCCCCTCCCCCTCCCCCTCCCCCTCCCTGTCACCAAGTGATCCACAGTGGGATAGCAGCATTGCTTTGCCGAGAGATCGGACTTGCCTGAGCCTGACCCGCAGTTCTGTCCTGGAGTAAAATCGACGGCAGTGTTTTCAGGGCATCAAATAGCAGTCAGCACTCAGATTGTTGTCATAGCTTTCTTCACAGTTGGTTCTTTTTTCATTCAGAAGGTCCACTGAGTTGGTGGCTACATCTGTGAAGCCCCTTTTATTTTTATTGTTTTAAATTGTTATTTGTTAATTTGAGAGAGGAAGAGGGAGCGAGAGAAGGAGAAGGAGAGGAGAGGGGAGGTAGAGGGAGAAAAGGAGGGAGAGAGGAGAGAGAAGGAGGGGGAGGGGAGGGAGGAGGGGGAGAGAGAGAGAGAGAGAGAGAGAGAGAGAGAGAGAGAGAGATCTATTTGTTGTTCCACTTATTGGTGCATCATTGGTTGACTCGGTATGTGCCCCGAGCAGGGATCAAACCCACAACCTTGGTGTATGGCCGACGCTCTAACCCACTGAGCAACCCGGCCAGGGCTGGCCCCTTTTGATCTACAGGTTTCTCCTCCCTCTTTTCTCTTTCCTGGCAATTCATTACGTAGTTTATTGTAGAACTGGCTCGCTAGCTCACTTGTCTCGCAGAGTTTTTCACCGTCTGGACTTTGCTGGTGGCCTCCTAAGGACAGCATGCAGCTCCCTATCCCCGTGGCCCAGGCTCCAGACGGAGACTTGGCCCTTCGTGTTCGGTGTTCAGCAAAAGGCGGTGATGTGCCTTCCGTCGGGGGTGCCTTCCAGCCGCGCCCCATTTTACCACGTCAGCAGCACAGCTGCTCCACTTCTGAGCAGCGTTCACCTTGACTGTCGGAAAGGTGCTCGATCCCCCCACCCCAGCCACCCTGCCCCACCCCGGTTGCGCCTGCCCTTCCTCCCAGGACATGCCACAAAGTGCCATTCCCACGGTGATATCTGGTCGGTGCCCGTCTCCTGTGGGCTGGCGACGTGCCTCTTTCTCCATTTGCATCCCAGGGTCCAGCAGGTGCCAGACTCTTCCACATACAGGGTCCAACCTCAAAAGATGGTGCTGTTTCCAGCCTCAGTTTCCTGACGAGGAAGCGGCAGCTTGAGGGTGGATGGTGGCTGGCCCAACCTCGGATCCCGTGAGACCCCGTGGGAGTTCTTAAGAGCCAGCTGTCCAAAAGGCAGATGTGAATACAATAGACTTGTTACTGTGGCTAATTGGTCCATTAATGTTTTAAGTGGCCATTTAGCTCCAAATTCTAGCTTTCTCTGCCTGCATTGTGTGCAGTGCTATGTTGAGCCTGTAGGGGGCGCAGAGGCACAGGTGAGCTCACTGAGATCCTGGAGGGAGGGGTGTGAGCCAGGGGAGGGATAGACTGTGGCCTTCTGTGCTTAAATGAAAATGGACAAGGAAAGACCAACTTCTCCCTAAGTTTGTGGTCTAGGGCCTTACAGCCCCCACTTCCCCTCCCATCCCCCACCCCCCGCAGAAGTCCACAGTCATGCCCAGGGCAGAATCCCATGAAGGCACAGGGCACCGCAGCCTCTCCACGAAAACTATGTTCCCCTCCAAATAACCTTGAGGGAGGCCAGGAAGGCCAGAGGGGTGGGCAGGTGTGCCCTGACTTCTCAGGGTGGCCGCCCAGAGGGCTGCCTGCCAGGGCAGGGAGGGAGGGGCCTGTGAAAACGGCCATGTGACTCATGACCCTGGCCTTCAGCAGCTCCAGGTAAAGCTCCAGGAAAACCCACCCTACGTGCTTCCAAGGTGATGGACGCGTCAGGCCTGGCTCCTGCGTGTGGCCAGTGTCCATGACGGAAAAGAGACCGTCTTCCTCCTCTATTCATTGTTTACACCTGTCCCCTTCCAAGCTTTAGGGCAGAGGTGGGGAACGCCCCACCCGCGGGCCAGATAAGGCCCGAGAAATCATTGGGTCTGGCCCTGCCAAGGCATTGGGGTGAGTTAATTAAATGTTTGACCAAATCGAGCAAGCTCATTTTTAAGTTGATAATTTTGTATGGCCCGAGAATGATGCCACAAATATCCAAGTGGCCGTGGGCAGAAAAAAGGTTCCCACCCCTGCTTTAAAGCAACGTAAAACTCAAAGACCTACGTGAGGCAGGCGTGGAAATGACAGAGGTCACAGCAAGCGGGTGTGGCGGTGCTATAGATAGACGTCGTGGGTCCAGCGCCCCAGCAGCAGACCTGTGTCCCGGGGCACCCCCAGGCGGAGTTCCCCCTGCTAAAAGGTTAGCCTGTCATTTTGTGACCTGTTCGCTATGGGAAATAGAATTTGTAAACGATTATTTGTTCCTTTTTACCAGTTACATATGTAATAAATGGTTACCACGCAAAACCTGAACACTAGACACAAAGGTAGACAGACACAATTGCCAAGACCAATGCTACCCGTGTGTGGTGTCCTGCCCCTTGGGCTCCCCGTGCGACCATGCCTTGCATGAAGCAGGGCCACCGGGGGCAGTGGCAGCTCTGCACCCTCCCTCTTCTGTCCCATCAGTGCCTCATGGGCCAGTCCTCCTGCAACTAGGGACCAACACGCGGGCCCAGCCTGTGACCTCGGCCACTTTTAGGCAACGAAAAGTGCCATGTCCACTTTTTGTATTTAAATTTTTAAATATTGTGGTAAAATACACTTTGGTTTGATCATAAATTGAGTTCCTAGCTGCAGATGTATGTAAACCATGCACATGGGCCATCCACCTTCTAGAACTTTCCTACTCACAGGAAGTCCAGCAGCTGGCACTGTCCTGAACTCCTTCTCTAAGTCCAGTCCCCGTGCGCTCCTGGTTCAGCCCATCCCATTAATGGAGACAGATTTCAATGCCACATACAGCGGCCCACCTGGACAGTTCATATTCCAGCTTGGCGTTTGCCACCAGCCCATGCCCAGCTCCTCCCCTGCCATTGCTGGTGGCCGTGCTGAGCGTGCACTCATGTTAATGTGCCTCTCAAGGACACGTTCTTTGGAAAGCAGCTGAGTGCCACGCCTGCCACCAGCCGAGTTACACAGTTAGCGCCAACACTAACTGGGCAGCATTTGTCCTTTGCCTCCCTGTTGCATGTAATGAGGGAGAGGTGGGCTGGGTGCAGGTTCTGTGAGACCAAAGCTGGCAGCCCGCCTGGGCAGGGCTCCTGGCACCAGGTGGCAGCTCAGCTCAGCACCGCATTCAGCCAGTGAGCAGTGCACACTGCTCGGCTGTCAGACCAGGCCCCTGGCTGGAAGGAGAGCACATTTTACCTTCCCTTGTCGCTCCCAGTGAAATAGACAGGAAGCTGACATAGGATTAAGCCTGTGGCTCCCAGGTGGAGGCCCAATTGAGGACAGAATAAAATAATAAACTCCTTCTGAGTATGTCTGAGTCACTGCAAACACCTGAGGGTTGGTCTCCAGAGATGAAATGAACTATATGCTCTCTAAACAAAAGAGACACAGTAAATTCCTCATTATGATGATGGTTATGGAGGTAGTGGTGATAATGATGGTGGTGATGGTTGTGATGGTTGTGATGGTGATGGAGATGGTAATGATGATGGTGATGATGGTGGTGATCATGGTGATAGTGGTGGTGATTAGCTTAGCTCTTTTTTAATATATATATTTTTTATTATTGATTTCAGAGAAGGGAGAGGGAGAGAGAGAAACATCAATGATGAGAGAGAATCATCGATCAGCTGCTTCCTGCACGCCCCACACTGGGGACCAAGCCTGTAACCCGGCACATGCCTGACCGGGCATCGAACCGTGACCTCCTAGTTCATAGGTCCAATGCTCAACCGCTGAGCCACACTGGCCGGCAGCTCTTTTTTTTTTTATAATGTGAAAGTATCTTTCACTCTTACATTTGAAGAACATGATCACTGGAGATAGACCTCTGAGTTAAACATTATTCCTTGAACACTTCAAATATGTCATTCATATGCATGTTATCAAATATGTAATTGCATATATTACATCAAATAGGTCATTCTTGTGAGATACTGACATGTCTGTGACCTCTGCTTTTCTTAAGAAGTCAGCGCCCACTCATCCATTTTGCTCTGCATATAATCTCTGCTGCTAAGACTGTCCTCACTTTGTCCTCAGCATTTGGACTGTAAGTGCCATTGTGCCCACTCTCGTGTTTATTCTTGGAGTTTCCTGAGCGCCTTGAATCTCTAAGCTAATGCTCTGCACCCATTTGGAGGGTTTGGGGCGCTTTCGTTCTTTGGCCCCATTCTCTCCTTCCCTCTTGGATTTCAGTGGCAGCGTCATGTCTGGCACTACCTGCAGGCCCTGGGTTCCATTCCATCTTTCCCGCCTCGTCGCTCTGTCCTCCAGTCACAGGACCACCTGCCTTCAGGCTCACAATCCCTTTCTTGTCCCCCAGCCATACTCACCGACTTGTGTGGAAGGCTTCCCATTTCAGGGTGTTCCTGTCACCCCCAGAATCGCCTGTTTTTCACTGGGTTTGCTGGGTGCTGCTGCCCTGCCGTGTTTATAGCATCTTCTTGCTATCCTTGTCCCTCCCTGATGTTGACTCCTTTTGTCTTGATTGCATGTCCCGTTTTTCTGATTCTCATATGCCTGTTGCTGTTGTTGCTCCCTGGACACCGTGTGTGTGGGACAGAGAATGTGTCACCTCCGCCTGAGTGGAGTTGAGTGGTTGCTTTTTGCCTGAAGCAGTGCAATTCTTGGAGGACGCTTTGATTTGCGTCCTGTCGGGTGCTTAACTTTGCAGGGAGATGAAGCTGCTCAGGCTCCTCCCCTGCACGTAATTCCAGCTGTTTTATCTGAGGCCCTGCTTCCATCCTCCTCCTCGGGTCCATGAGTTTGGTCATAGGCCCTTCATGGGTCCACGTCCATTTTCACTGTTCAAAGACACTGAGCCTGGTGTAACCGGGGAGTCACATGGGACTCAGATTCAACAAGCAACGCGTGTTTCTGCACACCGCCTGTGCCTGTCGTCAGCGGGAGGGTTGCTGTAGGAGGCTCTGTGTGTGCCCTCTAGGAGCATGGATTCAGCACTTCCTGGAGGACCCAAGAAAGGACCAGGTTGCTGTGGAGACGCTGAGCCCCCCGGACCTGGACAAGATGGCCAGTGTGATTGCCGATGCCGTGGACACGGAGCGGGCATGGGAAGGCCCCCGAGGGGCTGGAGGAGAGCCCGGGGAGCCGGCGGACAGCTCTGAGGCAGCGCTCGGGGACGGCGCCCACGGTGGGGGTGGAGCGCAAGGTGAGCGCCTGTCCCTGGCACTCACACTGTGGTGGACGGGAAGGCCCCGGCCACAGAGCGGTGGGCACCGGCCTCCCGGGAGCGGCCGCAGAGCAGCCATGCTGGAAGACAGCCTGCCCTCAGGGGGGAGACGGATTCCTCTGCTGAGGTGCAGAGTCAGAAGCAGCCTGATGCTAGGAAGTGCTTTTGTTTGGATCGTGTGTTAGTGAGCAAGTCAATTGTTCGACTAGTACAGTGAAAGGGGTTCATTTGAATGTCTGCCTGAGGCTCACCTTCCAGGCTGCTCCACGGAGAGAGCAGAGGCCCCCCAGTACCTCCAGCACACACATGCACACATGCACTCACCAACACTCACACATGCACACACACACACACACACATGCACACATGCACTCACCCACACTCACACATGCGCACACACACATGCACACATGCACTCACCCACACTCACACATGCGCACATATACACACATGCACACATGCACTCACCCACACTCACACATGCGCGCACACACACACATGCACACCCACACATGTGCATACACTCATTCGCACACGCACACTTACACACGCACACCCACACTCACACATGCACACACATGCACACACACTAACACATGCACACCCACACATATGCATACACTCATCACACACGCACACCCACACTCACACATGCACACATACACACACTCACACATGGACACATACATGCACATCCACACTCACATGCACACATACACTCACACCCACATACATACACGCACACATGCACACCCGCACATGTGCATACACTCGTGCACACACACATACACTCACCCACACTCACACATGCACACATACACACACATGCACACCCGCACATGTGCATACACTCGAGCACACACACTCACCCACACTCACACCTACACACATACATACACACATGCACACCCACACGTGCATACACTAATTCACACACGCACACACACACTCACACATGCACACCCACACTCACACACACACATACACGCACATCCACACTCACACATGCACACATGCACTCACACATGTACACACATGCACTCACACACATACACTGACACACATGTGCATACACTCATACTCACACATATACATACACTCATACGCACACACATGCACATACAGTCATACACACACACACACACACACACACACACACACGGCAGCTGGACCAGTGAATTGTGCAGCTCAGTCCTGCATATAGTAGGCGCGCAAAGAATGTGCCAGAAGCACGGTGGAGGGTGGACGTCTGTCTGGGGGTTGGGACAGAGGCTGGTGTGGAGCAGACACTCCGCTCGATGGTAGCAAGGGCTTGTGGAAGATACTGGAACTCCCCGGGACAAGGCATTGCGAGGCAGTGGGCACTCAGGGATTGACACCCACTCTGAGGGCTGGGGGGTCTAGAAAGTCCTGGGGGGTTGCGAGGTGTCAGGAGGGCGCGGTGAGGGGTGTGCTGGGGGCATTGCAGGCAGGATGCTGGCTTAGAGAAGTGACCGCCACAGCGAATTCCGCGTCCGCATGTTCAGGAGACACCTTCGCAAGGTTTGGGTTGGACGCTCCGCTTCCCCTTTCACAGCCACAGCCTGTCCCGCGGGGCGGTGCTGCCGGTGTGAGCCACACGGACACACGCAGGTCCGGGGAGCGGGGTGGCTGTGCGGCGACCACGCTTCCCGTTTAGCTGCAGCTCCCCCTCCGTCAGTGTGCGGGCAGCGCCTGCGCCCACGCAGGGGGTGCTGCTAGGAGAGGGGCGACAGCCGCGGTGCCACTCCTGACAGGACTTCGATAACGCTCTTGTCTTCCACAGGCACCAGGGCACGGGACGGCGGTGCGCGCGGCCACGGGGAGGTAAGACACACGCCTCTCAGCTCGTTTCGCGCTAAGCGGAACTGCCGGCCTTCTTTTTGTTCATGGCTGAGAACGTTTCTGAAATACAGAGGTTACTTTTGTTTTGTTTTTTTAGGAAAGGATGGAAAACCTCATAATCCCCAAACTGAGAAAACTGTAGACAGTGCGTGCAGATCGTGTATGCTTAGATATATGCTAATGTATATTTTCAGATTTATAGTAATCCCAGAGGCCTGATGCACAAATTCGTGCACTGGTGGGGTCCAGCCAGCCCACCCCGATGGGGGCCATCAGAGGCGGGGCTGGCCAAGGCGTGGGACTGTGGGCAGTTTGCCGGCCGGCCCTGCCCCTGATCAGGGTTGGGGTGCCCACTGGGGGGTGGGGCCGGGCTTGGCAAGGGGCCACAGGCGTTCTGCCGGTCAGTCTGTTTACATGTTACCCTTTTATTACTGTAGGATGGGCACATTGTAGAAATATGAAAAATGGTTACTACAAAGAAGAAGGTTAGCATGCCTTAGGGCTTCCCCATCTGGGGGTGTGTGGTAACATGATCCCACTGCATCATACGTGAGTGTCCCGTGTGCTGACCTCCCAGGCGCATCGCATGGGCACACTGGCAGCTTCACCTTCACCGAGCAGTGTGGCAGCCACCATCCACGTATGGCTGCTTGACCTTGAAGTCACTAAAATTAAGCAAATAAAAAATTCAGTTTCTCTTGCATGTGCCCCCTCCGGGATCGAACCCAAAACCTAGGAATTGAACCCAAAGCCTCGGGTGCGCAGGCCGACACTCCACTGAGCACATCAGCCAGGGCAACATGGTTATTTTTAACATATAGATGCTGACAGCCTGTGCTGATTGCGCAAGCTGAGATTTAACGGGTGTGTGTTTGTGTGCACGAGAGAGGGAGGGAGGAAGAGAGAGGAACGCTATGACTGACTCTGATGTGCATCCTCCACTTGGTTGAGGACCTCTCATCCGGATGTGGCTCTAGCACAGGTTGTGCAGCCCTGCCTCATCAGCTCCGCACGCCCGCGGCCGTCCTCACCCACGGCGATCCCTCACAGCCTCCCTTCGTGGGCACGTGGACAGCCTTTCTCCTGCTTGTCCTCTCACGTGGATTTCCTTCCCACTAGGTAGGCCCTGCGAGCCTCAGCCGCGGGGACGTCCTGCAGGGCCCGGGGTCTCGACGCCCACCTGGAGCCCCACCTGGAGCCCCTCCTGCCACCAGGGTCGAGCAGGCAGAGGGCCCTGCGGCTGCCTTGTCTTCGGAGGAGGACACCGCGGGGGTGGAGAACGTGAGGAGCCGGACCTACTCCACGGAGCTGCTGGCGAGGCCGCGCTCGGAGCCCAGGGCCCACAGGCTGGGGGAGCTCCCGCGCTGGGTCCCGGGGGCCTCGCAGGAGCAGGAGGGCCCCGGCCACGGCCTGCGGCTGGAGGTCAAGTCTCCTGAGGAGGCCTATGGCTACATCGTGACCGAGAGCGAGTGAGTGGAGCCCTGGCCTGGACCTGCTGGTGCCGGGACCCTGGCCCCTCCCTGGAGGGGGAGTCTCAGGGTGGAGGCGCTTGGACCGCCCTCCCTGTGCCCAGCAGATCAGAACCGGAACCTCGGGCAATTCCCCGAGGGATGAAGTGGCCTTGTCTCCAGGCCCGGCTGGCGCTGGCGGCGGCACTGGGAGGAGGAGGCCTGGGCTGTGAGTGGCGCTCCGGGGAGGGGAGGTGGGATCGGGTGCTGGCTTCACCTGATAAAACACCAAACTCATTCCCCCTTTCACACCAGAGTGGTCCCGGAGGGCAGCACACCCTGTCCTCACGCTTGTTTTGACCTGAGAATCACAAACATCGTGCACCCAGCCTGCGACAGGCAGTCCCCTTGTCCAGGTCACCTCAGCTTTGTACAAATGTTGTTTTCTTCAGGTGATGAAAGCGTGTTTGGGAGGAAGCGTTATCTGTGTGGCCACACAGGTGTGTGTGTGCGTGTGCGTGTGCGTGTGCGTGTGCGTGTGTGTGTGCGTGTGTGTGCAGGTGTGCGCTGCCTTGCGTCCCAGTGGCCCCCTGTCCAGGTGTTGCTGCGTCGGGTCGCAAGCGATCATGGCTCACGGGTTGTTCTCAGTGGGGGAGGGCTGCCCGGCAACTGGCCCCCGATTCTGCAGGCTCATGCCTTGCCCAGAGCGGCGGCGGCTATGGTGAGGGCGGCAGGGCGCGTTGTGAGAAGCAGAGCAGCAAACCCTTTGTTCTGAGCGGAACCACAGGCACACGTCAGAGCCAGGCTAAAGCCGAAGACCATTTCCAACAGCGACCGCGTTCTCACTGTGTTTCCAGAGAAGTCAGCAGCGCGGCCTCCGGCTGGCCCAGCGCGGGGACGGGGGCCGCGCCGTCTCCAGGCCGTTTTGTCCAGCCGCGTGGGTCCCTCCTCACCGCTGCGCCTGGCTGGTCTGTCCCAGGTGGTCCTCTCTGTCCCCTTCCTTCCTGAGGACTAGCAGTCCCCGGGGGTGTCCGGCCTTCAGAATCCCACCCAGAAACGGCAAGCGGGCACCTGCGGGGAGCCTGCAGAAGGCGGGCTCTGCCAAGAGCGGAGGTGCTGAGGGGGGCAAACGCCCACAGCCTGGACTTCTCTGTAGCGTCAGCCACCCGAGCGCAGGCCTTCTCTTCCTTGGAAAACATCCTCGTGTTGTGTGTGCACTGTCTGGGTGTGGAGGTAGGTTTATGTCTCTGTGGATGTGTTATGTGTACATATGCGTATGTGTGTATATGCCGTCTATATGTGTAGTGTGTTTGTGTACTGTGTCTGCATGTGTGTAGTGTGTGCATGTGTGTAGTGCATGTTTATTGCTGTGTGCCGCACATGTGCATGTTTTATGTGTGTAATGTGTCTATGTAGTGTTGCTGTGTGCACATGTCATGTGTTTGTGTGCAGTACATTTATGTGCACTGTATGCATGTGTGTACCACTTGCATGTGTGTTCTGCATAGTGTGTGTATAGGTGTGGTGTGGTGTTGTATGTTTCATGTAGTGTGTTGTTTGTGCACATATATGCATGTGTGATGTGCTTGTGTATAGTGCATGGATGTGTGCATGTACATATGCAGTATGTTTACATGCAACATGCCATGTGTAGTGTGTTTAGCATGTTGTATGCGCACGTGCATAGGCATATGTTGTGCATGCATGTGAGTGTTGTGTGTCACGTATGTGCATGCAGTGTGGTGTGTGCGTATTTATGTGTGCTATGTACCACGTGTGTATCATGTGCATATGTGCATGTTGTGTGTGTGCATAGTGAATTTATGTGTGCTATATGCATGTGTGTTCATGTGCATGCATGGTGTGTAGTATTTTATGTGTGCTGTGTTGTGTGTGATTTCGTATGTGTACATGTATGTGCCATGTGTGCACGGTGTGTTTACGTGCACTATGTATCATGTGTGCACATGTGTCGTGTGTTTATGTATGACGTGTATATAGTATACATGTGTACGGTGTGTATGTGTGCACATGTGTATTTGTGTGGTTTGTATCATGGGTGTGCTGATGTGTGGGGTGTGCATGTGTGTACTGTGTGCATGTATGTGGGTGTGCATGTGTGTAGTGTTTGTGTGTGATGTGTGCGTGGTGTGTGCATGTGTGTGCACATGTGTGTATGTGTTGTGTGTTGTGTATCATATGTGTGTTGTGTATGTTGTATGTGTGGTGGTTGTGCATGCGTTTGGTGTGTTTATGTGCGCTGTGTATGTGTATGTGCACGTGTGTGTATGGTGTGTTTATGTGATCATATGTGTGCTGTTGTGTGTGGTGTGTGTATGTGTGTGGTGTGTGCATATGTTTAGTGTGTTTGTGTACTGTGTGTATGAGTGTGTGCACATGCGTGTATGTGTTGTGTGTTTATGTGTAATGGGTATCATGTGTGTGCTGTTGTGTATGTTGTGCGTGTGCTGTGTGTATGTGTGTAGGTTGTGCATATGTATAGTGTGTTTATGTGTACTGTGTGTATGAGTGTGTGTGCACATGTGTGGATGTGTGGTGTGTGTTTGTGTGTCGTGTGGGAAGTGTGTGTGTCATCACTGATGAAGCCTCCACTGTACGGCTGCTCAGGGAACCTTTCCTCCCCCTAGGGCATCCATGCCCTGGCCTGTCCCGAGGGCTGGTGCTCATGGGAGACGCTGGCTGTGTTTGCCAGGAGCCTTTGGAGCAGGACAGTCCGCCCCCTGGGTGTCGGCACTAGGGCTGGCGCAGAGGGAGTGACTGCTCGTGAGCCACCCTGAAGGCCCTTCGGTTGGGCATGTCTCTGGCTCTGGCCGAGGTCCTGCAGGAGAGGCAGTGTGACGACGGGCTTGTCCCGGGCTCAGTTAGTTCCCTATGAAGCACCCTGGGTGCCACCTGGGGACCTGAACACTTACCCCTGCACGGGGGCTAAAGACAGTCCTTATCTTATTGTGGCTGCTGTCCCCTCTTTGCTGCTTCAGCAAATTAAATGTTCGAGGTGCGATGCTCACCGTCACCAGGCATCGCGTACGAGAGGCTACGCCTCCTCCCTCTCATGGACGGAGCAGTGGCTCTGACTCTGTTATCAGAGTAATGGGTAATCGGGGATTCTCTGGGGTGAGATTTCACCAGATCTCCACTACGTCTTCATAGATCAGCTGTTAATTGACAAGAATCTCATTCTATTCTCTTTTTAAAGGCTTTTGTATATGTAGTTGTCCCATAAAAGGAGAAGGAAGGTGACTTCTAGCTCAGTGTTATGTCATTGCCGACGTGTGCGCCCCACCGACGTTCAGACAGGTGGGAATGTGGCTCAGCATGGCCGGCACCCTCCTCTCTCACCCTTGCTGACAGACAGGGTGCACTGTAATCCTCATCACTCACAGCTTCGTCATCTGCACAAGCCAGGTGGATTATCTGAGACTGGATGAAAGGCAGGACAGCCACCCCGTCCTCCACGGATGACCAAACATTATTTCAAGTGAAGTTGGCAGGAAGAGAGCACGGCTGGACGGCGGGTTGGGAGCGAAGGGGCCCTTTCCCTCCCAGTGAAGAAGAGATCCCTCCACATCTGACGACAGAGCTGGGCACACGCTGTCCTGTTCCCTGTCTGCCCTTCACAGAAGGGACTCACCTCACAAGTCACACGGATCCCTTGGCATCATCAGTGTCGAGTCCATGTCAGAACTTGCAGCTCATTTGTTTTCTAACGCGGCATCCGAACAGCCCACCATGTGCCCAGCTGTGACTGCGGCCGCCGGCTATGCCCTCCGCTGGGCTGGGGCCTCCGTGATGTGTGGCCTCCAGGGCCCAGCACTGGCTCGGAGTCTAGAACTGGAGGGTATTGCAGCCTCGTCTGGCCTCCAGCCACTGCGGGAAGGAGGAAATATGTCCCAGTGCGATGGAGGCGCGAAAACAATGTCCCTGCGTCCGTGGCCCCGCGGGTGCCGAGCCAGCGTGGCTGTCGGAAGGTGCCTGGGGGCACAGCTTTGCCCGGAAGGGCGCCTCGGTGGTCGCTGTCAGTGACCATCGGATCTTTCTCCTGGGCCGAGGATGAGACCTGTTTTGGGGGAGGGGCAGGGCAGGGAGGAGAAGGAGGTGTTGGAACAGCCCGGCCTGTGACCCTCCCATCAAGTGACTATGTGTTTCTTGTTTGTCTGGTGGGTCCCTAGAAGCCTCCTCATTCATCGCGATTCAACAGCGGCGGTGACATGCTTGGGCTCAGAGTGGAGATGCCCGAGACAGGAGACACTGCCTGGCTGCCCAGGGTCCTCCCCGGGAGCTGTCCCGTCACCAGACCCTGGCCGGCAGCCTGGCGCCCTCCTACCCCCAACCCAGCTCTGACTGAGCCCAAGCGCCCACGACTCCCTCCCTGCAGGCAGCGCTGCGTGTCCAGGCGGTCGCGGTGACAGCGCTGCGTGTCCAGGCGGTCGCGGTGACAGCGCTGCGTGTCCAGGCGGTCGCGGTGACAGCGCTGCGTGTCCAGGCGGTCGCGGTGACAGCACTTCGGGCAGATGGACGAAGCTGCGCGGCCCTGTCCACCCACTGGCTTTGGAGATTCGCGCCACCGCTTCCTGAGGAAGTCCAGGCTGCGCTGTGTCTTTTAAACAGAAAATAGAGATGACCACATGTGCATTGTGAGCACGAGCACCGTCCACCTGTCCCGCTCTCTGCTGGGCCTGACCGCTGGGCAGGAGGACAGGGGCCCGGCGTGGCGCCGCCGACCTGTGACCCACGACCCGCTGCCGCCCCTCATCGCGACCTGCGAGGCTGCTCTGGACGATCGCGTGCGGGTGAAGGAATGCGGTGACGGGCAGTCGGGAGGCTGACTGTGGCCGGGCTTCCTGAGACCGTCTGGCCCAGCCCAAATGGACTGCCCCTGGGGTGTAAAACCCCCAGAGAAGGGAGGTCCTGGAATCTGGTAACAAACCGGCAGGTGGAAGCGGCAGGTGCTCAGTGGGGGCGGGGCTGTGGAGGGACAGACAAGGCGAGGCGCGAGCAGTTTGTGGGGGAGGCAGCCTGGAGGCCATGAAATGAGCACAGACCTTTAAGCCAAGCGTGAGCAGGCTCTGGCCTGACCTGGGGGAAGTCCGGCTCCTTCCAAGGAGGTCAGTGTAGAGGTCAGGGTCGCCCGGGCCCTGTCAGCCTCGTCAGCCAGTCTCTGGCTAGGCAGCACTTCCTGGTGGCCTGCCCTGGGAGGCGTGGCCCCAGGAGTGACAGCCACCGCCTGAGAGAGCGAATGTGAGCAGGGCACAGCATGCCAATGATACATCTGATAAAGGTTTAATCTCCAAAATATACAGGGAACTCATACAAATTAACAAAGGAAGACAAACAATCCAATTAAAAATGGGCAAAGGACCTAAATAGACACCTCTCCAAAGAGGACGCACAGGAGGCCAAGAGACATATGAAAAATGCTCAAGGCACTGACCATCAGAGAGATGCAAATCAAAATGACAGTGAGGTACCACCTCAGACCTGTGAGAATGGCTGCCATCAACCAATCAACAAACGACAAGTGTTGATGAGGTTGTGGAGAAAAGGGAACCCTCGTGCACTGCTGGTGGAAATGAAGCTATTATGGAAAACAGTATGGAGTTTCCCCCCAAAATTAAATATGGAACTTCCATTTGACCCAGTGATCCCACTTCTAGGAATATATCCTAAGAAACCCAAAGCACCAATCAGAAAGGATGTATATCATCCTATGTTCATAGCAGCACAATTGACAATAGCTAAGGTCTGGAAACAGCCCCAGTGCCCAGCAGCAGATGAATGGATACAATAGTTGTGGTACATCCACACCATGGAATGCGCTGCTGCTGGGAAAAAGAAAGAACTTACCGTTTGCAACAGCACGGCGGGACCTGGAGAGCATTATGCTGAGTCAGAGAAAGACAAGTATCACATGATCTCACTCACATGTGGAATCTAATGAACAAATAAACTGATGAACAAAAATGGACCCAGAGACATGGAAACATGGAACACACTGTTGAGCCTCAGAGGGAAGGCGGGGGAGGGTGGGTGGGAAGAGATCAACCAATGAGCTTGTACGCTCGTATGCATAACCCGTGTACACAGACAAGACAATGGGGTGGTGATGGGAGCGGCTGGAAGAGGTTAATCGGGGAAAAGGAGGACCTATGCAATACTTTTAACAATAAAGATTTTAAAAAATAAAAATTTAAAAGATTAAAATAAATGAAGTAAAAATGTGTCTGTTTTTTAAAAATATGGTCTGCTTTTCAGCATCTGCTTCTGTCTCCTCTCTCATCCCCCTTCCCCTCCATATCCTGTTTTCATTGAGGCTGCGATGAGCCCATTGCTGCGTCAGGGCCCCTTACACACCTAACAGTCCCCTTGCACGGAACTGTTTGTCTGGTTGCTGGGAAGCAGGCGATACATCGTGGCTGACAGCTCCCGATGACGGTGGCCTGAGAGCCGCGCACTGTGACAGGATGGAAGGGTTGTGAGAGGCCCGGGTGGGGGAGCACAGGGCCCTCAGCTCCTCGGGGATTGAGAGAGTCAGTTCCATGTGGTGACGCTGCCCTTCTCTGCTCCTCCAACAGCCCCCTGAGCCTGGAGAAGGGGAGGCAGCTGCTGGCGGACGTTGCAGGCATGCTCCAGGTGCCCACGGGCGTCCTCGCAGACACTGAGTGAGTGTGGGCGCGGGGGCTCCGGGTTCTGTTCTTGGCCGCGTTTCTCCGGCTCCGTTTCATAAACTGGTTTGCGAGGGAGAGCTGTGCCTGTGGCTCCTGCTAATCACCCTGCCGGGAAGATGCCTCAGGAAGACAGGAAGGGAGAGCCCGGGGCTGGTGAGTTACTTAGATGAGCTGTAAGGGATGTGGTGATAAGAATTCTCATCAGCACTGGCCAACCGGGCGTGGTTCCAGCCCTGCGGCTCCAGAATCGCCCGGAGGCTCCCTGCGTTCCTCTGTCCTCACCTGCCCCCCTGCATGCAAGGTGGAGCCTTCAGCGCATTCTCAGTCAGCACCTGTTTCCTGGGAAGTGGGGGGCACTGAGGACAAGCACCGAGTAACAGAAAGTGTGATGGGGTCACCGGCACAGGTGCCGACGGCGGCGGGCCCAGCTCAGAGAGCCGAGCACGGGCAGTGCTGGCGGTCGCCGTGCAGGCGCTGCTGGGGACTAGAGGCAACGCTGAGCTGAGCGCCTGTCGATGGGACGTGACGTGGAGTGTTCACTGTGGCCCGCAGCCACCAGGTGTCCCTGGGGGCCAGGTGTTTATTGAGTGCCCACTGTGACCTGGCCTTGTGCTAAGCTGGGCCCGTGGGGCAACACCGCCCTGCACAAGACCTTACCACTTCCTGGGAAAGGCAGACGCATGCGCAGGCGGCTAGCACGGAGGGCACACGAGATGGTATGGGAAGCACCTCACCAGCCGGGGCCGGAAGCTTCTGGAAGAGGAGAGCTGAGGAAGGGGAAGCAGACAGGCAGTGCACCCCCAGTGCCGGGCAGTAGGACCACACAGTGAGCATTCTGAGTGTAGAACGTACGCTGGCCCAGAGCCACAGTGGGCCGGGGAGCTGCCTGCGCTCCCTCATCTGGGCGCACACACCTGGCCCACACACCTGGGCACACACCTGGGCACAAACCTGATGCACACACCTGGGCGCACACACCTGGTCCTCACACCTGTGCACACACACCTGGGCACACACCTGGGCACACACACCTGGCGCACACACCTGGGCACACACCTGGCCCACACACCTGGGCACACACCTGGGCACACACACCTGGTCCACACACCTGGGCACACACACCTGGCGCACACACCTGGGCACACACCTGGGCACACACCTGGCGCACACACCTGGGCACACACACCGGGCGCGCACACACACCTGGGCACACACCTGGTCCACACACCTGGGCACACACACCTGGCGCACACACCTGGGCACACACCTGGCGCACACACACACCTGGGCACACACCTGGGCACACACACCTGGCGCACACACCTGGGCACACACCTGGCGCACACACACACCTGGGCACACACACCTGGCGCACACACCTGGGCACACAACCTGGCACACACACCTGGCGCACACACCTGGCCCACACACCTGGGCACACACCTGGTGCACACACCTGGTCCACACACCTGGCCACACACACCTGGCGCACACACACACCTGGGCACACACCTGGGCACACACACCTGGGCACACACACCTGGCGCACACACACACCTGGGCACACACCTGGGCACACACACCTGGCACACACACCTGGCGCACACAGAGAGAATGGGACCAGTTCAAGGTGGGGCGGGCTCAGTGTCCAGGACACCAGGGGTCTCTTCCCATCAGGCCCCTGGGGCTCTGCTGCCTGCAGCCTTCCCCCCATTCCTTCCCCGGCAGGGAGGCGAGGTGACTTCACTCAATGCCCTATCCTTCTCCCCAGGCCCAACCAGACGTCTCCTCAGCCTCTCATAACTCTCAGCCAAGTGCAGCTGCCAGGTCTCTGGGAGGGGCAGGGGCAGGAGGGGCTTCAGGTGGGCGGGGCTTCAAGTGTGGGGGGAGGGGCGGCAAGAAAGGCTTTGGGTGGGCGGGGCGGCAAGAAGGGCTTTGGGTGAGAGGGGTGTTGGCTGAGAGGGGCTTCAGGTAGGCAGGGAGCTGGCCCAGAGGGGCCGGGTGCTGGTCATTTAGGTGGAGAGCTGGCTGGCCCTCTGACCCCCTGTCCTCCTGCCCCTCGCTGGTGTCAGGTTGGCTCCTTGCCCCTGTGCCTGGAGCAGGAGCCAGAGGGCCCTCTCAGGAGGGGCCGAGCTTGCCCGCTGCTCAGCGCGGACAGCGCTCTGGGAACATTGCCCGCGGTCTCTCCCTGCTCAGGAGACTGGGGGCTCCCACTTCCTGCAGAGCCAGGCGACACCCGCCTGTTTAAGTCTGGGAAGCTGGCCCTCAGCTCTCCTGTGAACACACGCCGAGCCCTCCGAGGGCCCCTGCTCTTGGTCGCCTGCTTGTCCCAGAGCTGCCGTCTGGGCTCTGGGTGCAAAGGCTTCTCTGAAGACCTCGTCGCGGCCAGTTCACGTCTGCGCTGCGCCAGGGCCTTGAATTATTGTCCGTGTGAGCGCACACGGGGGCCGCCTGGGCACCGGCAGGGACCGGCTGGCCGCGTGGCTCTGCGGGAGGAGCTGTCCTCACGGAGTCGTTATCCAGCGGAGGGAGAGGCCCGCCAGCTCCGCGCGAGTCTGTGTTTATGGGAGCACTGGTTATGCCTAATATGCTTTGTTAATGGCTGTGTAGCTGTCAAGTAAATTCCATTATTCCTTATTACATCATTAGAGACCATTAAAAAGGCATTAGCATGCTGATGTAATTACGCAGCAGACGCGCAACGGCCACAGTTATGCCTTTATAATCTAATCACGGCTGTCCGCGCTGATGGATGCGGGGCTGCTGCGGGCGCCCTGGCGTGGGCGGCGCTGCGGGGGGCGCGGTCAACCTCCTCGCGACCATCTTCCGTGTTCGCGGAAGAGACACCGGGTTCCCTGTGCTCACGCGTGGGTGAGCCCAGAGCTCCTTGCGCTCCTGGGCTCAGGGCGGGGCTGCCCGACTTAGCGCCACCCACAACATGCCCGGGGCCCAGGTCCCGCGCTCCACCGGGTGCCCCTCTCCCTCCCACCCCTTCTCCTGTGAGAGAGCCCCGGGGAGTCTGGGGCCCCAGAAAGCATGCGCTAGTGTCTTGGGGCAGAATTGTGGTCACTTCCCTCCTCATCTCGTCTCCCTGGTGTGTGACGACATTTCATATGAAGCAGGAGTGGGAGCACGGCCTGTAGCCCAGGGGTGGACCCTGTGGCTTGCCCTGTAGCCTAAGTGATTATAAGTTGGGGTGCGCGCCGGGCACCGGAATCAACAGCGGCAGGTTATGCTCAGGTGTATGAACATCGCTCACAGCTAAGAGCCTCCAGCCGTGAACCCTGGAGCCCACAGGAGGGCTTGCAGGTGCGCTGCCCCCACCTACTGCTGCTGCTCGGCCGGCCCCGCCTGGCTCCGGATGTGCTCAGTGGCACCCCGGGGGCCTGTGTGCCCGTAGCAGGAGCAGGGACGGGGCCTCGGCACACGCGAGACGGGGGGGCCTGGCTGGCATTGCCCGTGAGGCCTGGAGTGCGGGGGAGAACCTGGCCGAGGCCTCGCCCTGTCTGGGCAGAAGGTGAGGTGGCAGGAAGGACCCTGTGCGTTCACAGGCCAGTCTGCTTGAGTGGAGGCGACGCCTCTCGCTCTAAGCCAATCCCCTGCTCTGCTCAGGGTGTTAGTGCTGAGCGCGGTGGCTGAGCTTCCTCAGAAGAGCGGAGTCACCGAGCCTTCCTAAGCCTCAGTTTCCCCACCTGTAACATGCAGAGTCGGGGCCTGGCATGGGCCAGGGGGCCCCACTGGGTTCAGTGCAGCTCGGAAGCACCCATGGGTATCGCAATAAAATGACACGCAGACTTCATGTCGAATTAGCTCCCAGGGTCACAAAACAAGAACGGGGAAGAAGGCCAATCCCACGGTGGCCGGGGCGAGAGCTGCCCTCCGGTGCCCGGTGGCCGGGGCGAGAGCTGCCCTCCGGTGCCCGGTGGCCGGGGCGAGAGCTGCCCTCCGGTGCCCGGTGGCCGGGGCGAGAGCTGCCCTCCGGTGCCCGGTGCCCGGGGCGAGAGCTGCCCTCCGGTGCCCGGTGCCCGGGGCGAGAGCTGCCCTCCGGTGCCCGGTGCCCAGGGCGAGAGCTGCCCTCTGGTGCCCGGTGGCCAGGCCGTGGTCCTTTTGGGGCTTCCCCTGCAGTGGGTGAGTCACCCCTGGAGCCCTTGCACCTGTTACTCAGATTGAGCCTCGTGTGTGTGTGGGGGGGGGGGGGGTCTGGCACTTCGGGACTGTGGGTCCACGTGTGTGTTTACTCGTGGGACGCCTCCCCGAGGAAGCCTGTGGTGGGGACGCATGGGACCTTACTTGGATGTGGTTCGTGGCCTCTGCACCCTGCCCTCCCTTCCTCTTGCCTGGGACTCTGCCTGGCATTGGCAGCATCACACAGTGACTTGTCACAGGAGAGCCAGACTCCAGGGCCAGGACACACCACTCCATTTTACAGCTGAGTAAACTGAGGCCTGAGAGGTGACCCTCGTGCAGACTGGCAGCTGAGACCTCTGTGTAGAGACTTTGCATTGTGGAAGCAGGAGCAGCAGGGGTTGGGAACCAGGCTATCTGGGGTCAGTGATGTGAGGCTGTGCTGACCCCTCGTGAACCTAAGAAAAAGCATGTGACCAAACCTGGAGCACCCCCAGTGTGGGTGTCACAGAGGCTCAATGATGATCAAGCTGACACTAGGGTGAGCGGCCCTATACCAGGTGCCCCAGGGGCCACGTGCATCTCCGAGTGGCAAGGCAGTGATGTGGGCGCCCTGAGAGAAGGCCGTGGTGTTGTGCCATCTGTCTGCCGGGCCCCCATGGGGGGTGGCAGGTGGATGGCAGGCCTCTGCCCATCGCAGGTGAGTGAGTGGGCATCTGCCTGTCTCAGAGAGCACTCGGCCCTGGGGGAGCTGTGGGCGGAGGGAGTGGGTAGGCGAAGTGCTGAGAACCACAGGTAACCCTGGGGTCCCGAGGCTGGATGGGACCCCGTCCTCCTTACCCCCAGATGCTGCCTTGGCTGCTGCCTGGGCAGGAAGCCCTGGGCGAAGGCGCTGCCCAGAGCCCATCCTCAGGATGTTCACGCCCCCTCAGGATGTGCACGCCCCCTCGGGATGTTCACGCCCCCTCGGGATGTGCAGGCCCCCTCGGGATGTGTACGCCCCCTCGGGATGTGCAGGCCCCCTCGGGATGTGCACGCCCCCTCAGGCGCTTAGTTCTGGGAGAGGCCGCTGTTGTCAAGAGCTGTGAGGAGGCTGACTGAGTGGGCGGGGCAGAAATGGGTTGTCACTGCCAGGAGAGGACACATGGCGGGTGACAGGGGGAAGTGTCATTGCACCAGACCAGAAGCGACCTCCAGCGGTGGTAGAGCTTGGCAGGACGGAGGGTTGGGTATGGCTGGGTCACTTCAGACACGGGGGCCTGTGGAGGCCACGGGGCGGTCACCTGACATGAGCAGCGCAGGCTGCCCGGTGGACCGAGGCCACGGAGGTTCCCGGGATGTGCCTCTGGGCTCCCCAGTCGCGAGAGCAGGACGGAGGGGTGTATGCCGGGACACAGCTGGGCTGGAACCTCCCCAGCAGCAGCCCCGCTGGCATTTTCGCGGTCTCACAGAACTCGGGGACTGTCTGCACAAAGAAGCAAAGGGACCCACCCACACGCTGCACCGTCGGCCTGAGCGGAGCTGTGGGGACAGCGGCAGGCGCTGTCTCAGGGGGGTCAAGCTGACCGGGAGGTGACCGAGGCTGCTAAGGGGTGGTGGGGATGGTGACTCACTGCCCCCCACTCAAGGGGTGCGCACAGTGGGCTGGCGGCTGGGCGGAGCGGAGCTCCCATGAGCAGCAGGACGTGAGGCCGAGACCCAGAGCTATGAGTGGAGGTGACACACTGAATCCACAGGGACTCGGAGGTGCTCAGGAGACTGTGGGGTGTGAGGTCACAGCACTGGCAGCAGGGGCTCATCCCTGGACAGGTGCCTGGGAGGAAGGCGTGGCCTGGGGAAGGCGTGGCCTGTGGAAGGCGTGGCCTGGGGAGGTGTGGCTTGGGGCATGGCCTGGGGAGGCGTGGCCTGGGGAGGCGTGGCCTGGGGAGGCGTGGCCTGGGGGGAGGCGTGGCCTGGGGGAAGGCAGGCGGGAGATGGGGTGGGGAGGTGGCAGACTCATCCTGTGGGAATGCTGAACTCAGGGTGTGTGCATTTCTGAGGCAGTTGTTCTAATTTTTATGTAAGGTCTCTTGAGCGTGTTCTCATTATTCAGTGGATTCTCGCTCTTATTACCCCTTTGCACCATTCTTACTATTAATGCCTTTTAAAATGATTTTATCATAAACAATGAAATTAGCAGAATGGAGAGGAACAGGGGGGTGGCTGGTTAGAAGGTGCCAGACTGTGGGCCCTGCAGGTACCGTGGCAGCGTCCCCTCCTCTTCCCACCCTCCTCCCTCCTCCTCCCCCTCCCCGCCTCCCCGCCACTCTTGTTCGTTTCTAACTTTTCAGTGCGGTCCCTTCTAGGCGTTCTACCTGATCTTTCAAGAAACAAATGGAGGAACTTCGTGGTACATTTGGCCGGAGCGGGATGCTTGGGCGGGGACCATGCGGAGTTCAGGAGCATAGGAGGCGCGGCTCCTGGCGGGCGGTCCTTCCCCAGCACCGGGGGGCTCCCGGGCAGAGGTGCTGAGTCGCGCTGTGGGGAGCACTGCCTGGATGGTTGCCTGCCGTTCAGACCGACCCTGCAGTCCCGCTCCGGCTGGAGAGGGCTGCATGTGTACCGTGTTTCTAGAGTACATGCGGCTTCAGGAGTCAGATTGTTTTAAAAAGTGATGTGTTCTTTTCAAAATCATGTTCAATATAGTGTTTAAAAGCTTTGGAAAATTTGGATAATTCCTGTCTGCCAATTCCCTGCCAGTTATGTTTATACTGAATGTTTCTTAATGTTTGATACGTTTTTGAACAGTTGCTGTCAGAGAGGTTTTTAAAGACTCCTCTCTCCTTTCTGCCTTTGACGCACTCTGCTCCCTTGGGAACCAGACACTAAAATCTGTTTCCGTAACAGCTTTTCCCTCGCAAGTCTGTGGTTGGGCTGTGGGTTGAATTTTTTATAAAAGCTCTGCGTGTGGCTTAGACAAGCAGAGCCTGTCACTGGAATCCCTGGAAAATGGAAACGAGGAAGCGTGTCAAGAGCACGCTCACCCGTCAGAGCGGTGGCCTGGGTGCACGCATAGGACTCGGAGGCCTGTGAGGTCTCCTGCGGGGAGCCCTAGCCCTGGCTGCGTGTCTCTGGGCGTGTCGTGCTGTCCCGCACTCAGACAGGACGCTGTGTGCTGAGCTGCACTGACCCTTTCCGAATGGTCTCTCCCAGGGTCCTGGGACCAGCTGTGACCTTCAGAGTGAGCGCCAACGTCCAGAACGTGACGCCTGCAGATGTGGTGAAGGCAGCAGGTAAGGTTCTTTCAACACAACTACACACGTGCACACACATGCAGGCACCAGGTCGGGAGGACAGACAGCCTCTGGCACCCTGGTGCTGGCGGGGAGACAATGGGGCAGTAGTGGGTCTGCTTACACGACTGCGGGTGGACGCGCGGCAGCTCCAGGTGGCGGGCGCCGGTGCGGGGAGGGGGGTGCGGGGGGGGGGGGACTGGGAGAGGATGGGAGAGTGGGTACGGGGGGGGCAGGCGCGGGTGCAGGAGGGGCACAGGTGTGGGGGGGAGGGGAGAGGATGGGAGAGTGGGTACCGGTGGGGGAGCAGGCGCGGGTGCAGGAGGGGCACAGGTGTGGGGGGGAGGGGAGAGGATGGGAGAGTGGGTACGGGGGCGGGGGCAGGCGCGGGTGCAGGAGGGGCACAGGTGTGGGGGGGAGGGGAGAGGATGGGAGAGTGGGTAGGGGGGGCAGGCGCGGGTGCAGGAGGGGCACAGGTGTGGGGGGGAGGGGAGAGGATGGGGGAGTGGGTACCGGTGGGGGGGGCAGGCGCGGGTGCAGGAGGGGCACAGGTGTGGGGGGGAGGGGAGAGGATGGGAGAGTGGGTACCGGTGGGGGGGGGGGCAGGCGCGGGTGCGGGGGGGTGGAGGAGGACATACCAGTGTCGGGAGTGGGTGCGGTTCCACATTTTCACCAGCTGTGGCCTCGCGTCCATGCATCGCGCGGAGACGTGCGCAGGAGGCAGGTTTCAGCAGAAAGAGCTGGTCATAGCTTTGCAGGGAGGGCCCCGCCTGGGTCCGCTCACCGCCGGAGTCGGTCTCGGAGTGAGAGCCTGCGGCCACGGCGCGTGCCGCACGGGCCCTGGTTTCACTGGTGAGAGCTTTGCTGACTGTGGCGGGGCCTTCGCCTCATGAGACTCAGGAGCCACCGCTGCACCGGGCCGCGGGCCCCAGGCTCGGCTCAGCCGCGGCCGTTATTGTGAGACGTAGGAACCATTTTAATGAGGTTTACACCTTTCCTTCCAGTGTAAATGGGGCAAGATATCCCGGCTGGAAGAGGTTTGGGTGCTTGGCTCTCCTTGGTTGAGGCATCAGACATTGACCTCAGTGCGCTCAGTGTCCGTGGGCGGGTGTCCGTGGGTGGGTGTCCGTGGGCGGGTGCCCGTGGGCGGGTGCCGGGCCGGCCGGGGGCGCGGCTCTGACCTGCCCCGGTTGGCCCGGGTTTCAGCGCCGGGAACTCTGGTCCGCGGTGCCCCTTTGCTGGCCGTGGTGGATGGGGCCAGTGCTTTCAGTTACGGAAGGTTCGTGGCCCAGCGGACAGCCCTCGGGCCTGGCGGTCCCTCTCGCAGAGCCGGCGCCCCACCTGCTCTGACGGGGCAGCTCCCCCAGCAGCAGAGCGAGGGGGCGTCGGTGTGGGCGGTGTTGCTCCGCTCGTGGCCGCAGGCTGTCTCCTCCCGGCGCAGTGTCCCCTGGACGCTCGGGCCCTCGGGGCAGCGGCCGGTCACGGAGCGCATCCCAGGTCGGCTGGGCGCCAGCGTGGACGCAGAGGCGCAGGAGAGCCCACTGGGGAGCACGCTCTGGGGCGGGTCTGCTCAAGACTCTGCGAGTGGACCAATGCGAGTGAAGTGTGTTTTTAAATCCTCCCCAAGACATGTCCACTGATCTGGGGAGAGAGGGGAGGGAGGGAGGGAGAGGCCGGCTGCCTCCGACACGCACCCCAACGGGGGAGCGAAACCTAGGCCTGTGTCCCGACCAGGAATCGAACCTGTGACCCTTCGGTGCATAGGATGTCACTTCAACCAACTGTCGCACACGCCGGGCAAAGGCTTTTCCAAAAAATAATGACAATACACGCGCCGACAACGTCTTTTGTTGACTTGATTGCTCTGGGAAACAGGCGGCTGTTTGAAACCTCGCTTCTGTTCTCATTGGTTGTGCGTGCTGCTGCGTGCTGCGTGCTGCGTGCTGCGTGGGTGCTGCGTGCGTGCTGTTGCGTGCTGCGTGCGTGCTGCATGCGTGCGTGCATGCTGTGTGCTGCTGCGTGCGTGCTGCGTGCGTGCTGCGTGCTGCGTGGGTGCTGCGTGCATGCTGTGTGCTGCTGCGTGCGTGCTGCGTGCTGCGTGGGTGCTGCGTGCGTGCTGTTGCGTGCTGCGTGCGTGCTGCGTGCGTGCTGCATGCGTGCGTGCATGCTGTGTGCTGCTGCGTGCGTGCTGCATGCTGCGTGCTGCGTGCTGCGTGTTGCGTGTTGCGTGTTGCGTGTTGCGTGTTGGTTCAGGGAGAAAGCAGACGCGAAACACACGAGCGTCCGTCCGGATCCTGCCTTCGCTGCTGTACCCGCGCATCACGTCACTCTCACGGCCGCTTCTCACGTGTGAAAAATCGGTAACGCACAGGCACGGTCACCATTGGTCCCTTTTACATCCAGAATAATTTTAACCTGTTACGGACGTGCCTGCTGCTGTGTAGGAAAACGAAGTTTGGGCCGCGAGGACCTTCTTGGGGCGTAAGATACCCCGTAGAAGCGGCACCCGCCACCCCTGCCCGCGGAGCCTCTGGGAGCGGAGAGCGGCGCCTCCGAGGGCAGCATGCGGGGCGGCTTGCGTGCCAACACGCAGAGTCCTGAATGCGAATGGCGGTGCCGGTGGCTCCTCCCTCGGTTGGCAGCGGACCCGCGGGGGGGAGGGGGGGGGAAGAGGGGGGAGGGGGGCGGGGGGAGGGGGGGCGCGCGCTCTGCGCCCGCTGCTCGCGCGCCCTGTGACCCACGCAGCCCGGCAGCTGGAACTGGCGGGGCGTTCATGCTGCTCATTTTATACAAAATGACGCGAACTAACGGAGAGGCGCGAGGCCGTCGGTCCGCGAACATCGCTGGAGAAGCTGCGATGGCGGTGGGTGCTGTGCCCGCGCGCAGACTCTGTTCCACGGAGATCCTTCTGGAAGCCCCGCGCTCCCGGGTGGTCCCGCGATCTTGGCCCCCAGCACCAGGCCCGGCTGCCTCTGCCACGGTGGTGCTGGCACCCTGGCTGGGGTCCTGCGTATTGCGGGGGGGCGGGGGGGTGGGACTCACTGGGGACCCTTCAGATGTGGCCGAGCTTCCGGCTGCCTCCCTCGCCCTCACGCCCTCGGATCACAGCCACTGGCACCGCCCTTCCTCCCTCCTTCCCTCCCTGCATGTTTCTATTGATCTGAGAAAGAGAGGGAGAGGGAGGGAGAGAGAAACAGCAGTGAGAGAGAATCACTGATGGGCTGCCTCCTGCATGCCCCCCACTAGGGATCGAGCCCCCCACCCGGCCTGTGCCCTGACCTCCTGGTGCAGAGGTGATGAGCTAGCACCCAGCCGCCAGCTGGGCAGGGAATGCTTTCAAGACAGGGGTCAGGTGCAGGCCCAGATCGGGGATCCCGGCCCCAGTCGCAGGGGGTGAGCGCTGCCCAGCCCTCCTGTGTGCACCTTGAAAGGGGAGCCAGAGCCAGAAGGGGAACGTGTCCCTGACGCTGCTCAGCTCAGCCATCGAGCTCTGGCCCCTCACGTAGGTTCCTGCTGCGCCTTGCTGTGCAGGCCCCAGGAGACAAAACACCTAAGGACCTCCCGAGGGACCCTCCCGCCGGCAGGAGAGGTAGACACAGCCCGAGGCCAGCGAGGAGCTTCGTTGGACAAGACCACCCCTGGGGCAGGGACGCACTGGCATTCCAGTCTGGGGCCGTGTTCTCAATATCCACCAGATGCGTGCCCTTGGCTTGACCTTGACTGTAGCTGGAGAGCCAGCGCTGCCATCCTGCGACCAGAGGCATGGCCGGTGGCCCAGGGGCCGGGCCTGTGGTAGGAGCCAGGCGGCCGCCAGGTGAGGGGAAGAAAGGGCCTCACTGCAGCCTCTCCCCCACCCCAGCCTTGGCCACGTTGGCCACACCCTCCATTCCCAGCGTGGACGGGCCGTGGGCTGTGTCCGCTGGGCCGGCTGATGCCTGGGTGTCACTGCCCTTTCCTGGAACATCAGCGGAACCACTGCTGTGGACGAGGAGAGAGTTGACTCTTGATGGGAAACTCCGAGACCGCTCTGGAAATGCTCGCAGAAGTCCCCAGCGGGGAAGCAGTTCACCCCAGGCACTGAGACGCCTGCCGGGAGCTGAGCGGAAGGGAGAGTCCGAGGATTCCCGCTCTTCTCCGAGGGGAAGTCAGAGCCAAGGACATTCTGGACAGCGTCCTGGTTCCTTCCTCGCCCGAGAGACAGAGCACTCGGGCCGGGGCCACAGGGCGCCTCAGGGGGCTCGGGGGCTGGGACCTGCCTCAGTGGGGGGTCCGAGCGCCGGGTGACTTTCCCAGAGGCTCCGGCTGCTGCTCAGAATTAGCATCTGTGGTCCCCATCGCGGTGACAGCGGCCATGTCCTCCCGGCAGGTTCCCAGGCGAGGGCCCCCCAGAGCTCAGCTGGCCTGCGGGGTCCCCCCAGTGGGCTGCCCGTGGGCACAGGGAGGAACACTTGAGCCAGGAGTGGGAGAAACACGGAGAACAAAGCCTCTGAGAGATGAGACGTGGAGAGAAGACGGGCGCCGTGAGTGGGGGAGGGAGGCCGTGCTCAGACCGCAGGGACTCACCTTGGCCGTGGCCTCTGAAAGGGTGATTCTGACCGAACACGCGCCTGCAGCTCGGCCCGGCCTGGCCTGTGCTCTGCATGGACAGAGCTGTGGGCAGACTCTCCTGTCCCGCCGTGGGGTTGAGCAGAGCGCCCTCAGGGGAGTTTGGTGCAGGCGCTGCCCTGAGGAGCACGACTGTGTCTGAAGATGGGAGTCGGGAGGGAGTGTCAGAGCAGGTGGGGGTGGGCGCTGCGGAGCCGCTCCTCCTCCTGGGCCTCAGGAGGGGCTTTGGGCAGAGGGGAGGCCGGGCGTGGCCTGGGGGAAGGGAGGCCAGGCTCCTGTGCGCAGGGGTGCTTCTGTCAGCCTCGGGACCCGGGGTGGACAGAATCCGGTCCAGGCCGGAAGCTTGGGGATGGGAGTGTGGCCAGGCTGACGCCGGGCTCCTGGGAGCGGCTGGG